GGGGGGAGGGGGCCGCTCTGCTGGGGAGGGGGTGTCGCTCTGCCATGAGGAAATTCGGCTTAAAGACACGTCCCAGGGCCGTTTCTGTTACCAAAAGGTGTTTCTGGTCCCCACCTGTCGTTTTGCTCCTCAGCATGGCTGTCGAAAAACGCTGCAGGATTTCTCAAACATGCATGAATGAGTCAGAGCAAGGCTTTGGGCATGTTTTTGATGAGAGTACAACATTATAACATGATATAAAACTAATAAAAGTTGATTTTTACATGATATTGCCCTTTAAGTGAGCAATTAGCTGTTCATTTTAATTTTGTTCAATTTCAGATAACTTACAAACAGATTCAGTGACACAAAAAGTTTTTACTTTTGAAATTATTTCAGCATTCAGTCAGTGTTTCTCTTCATCTCTTCATATGAATCATAATTAAACGTTAAACTGCTGGAAGAAGTGAGACTCACGTGTCTTACTGCACATGCCTGATCAGGAAATCTTTGATCCAAATCGCGAACGTGCATTACTCCCAGATTGTTTACACCTGGCTTGAATGAACCACCATAATTAAGCACAGCTTGGTGTTAAAGCAACAGATTACGGTTGTTTACAAGTTGAAGGCTAGTTCAAACTCAGCTCACAGCTCATATCCTGAATTTAGAAATCTGACTTTTATGAAATAGGCCTCTGGACTCGTTTGTAGGGTACAAGCAGATATTTTGATATTTTTTAAAAGCCTGTTTTAGTGAAGAGGATGATCATGCAAATGGTTGTCTGTGTGGGTTAACAAAATATCTCATGTACTATGAGATGCATTTTATAGAAAATCCAAAATATAATGATAGGATGTACATTTACAAGTAAATAACTTCTAGAGTCAACCTCTTTCGAGATGTTTGAAACAGGAGCTGGAATTATTACAAAACTTGAGCTAATTAGGTGTTCTGGTTGCTGAGAGAAAAGCTAAATACAGAAAAACGTGAAAGTCAGTTATAAATCCAGATCATCGTCTTAAGTTTTTTTTTTGTAAATGAATTTTATTTTTCCATGGACTCCTGAAAAAAAAAAAAAAA